TCAGTAAAGCAGCTCAAAACCGAGGGTTTGTTTGTAGACTGGTTAATCTTTGCCAAAAGCAATCTATGATGATACAATAAAAGAAAACAAAGCCCTTCAACAGTCCTAGGAAACAGAGATGGTTTGGTTCGTGACCTACAGTTTGTTTTTTTTTTCCAAAAACATCAGTGTTACATTTCAAAATTCTCTGATTTTCTGGAGGAGTTTTCTTTATCTCTTTACTGTATTAACTAAACAGAAGATCTCCTTGGGGAGTAGTACCACACTTGGTCAACATCCTCCTCCTGTGTTCATTAGAAAGTTATATTGTCTAGCATGTCTTAAAATTCTCCTATGAATTGCATCAATGTAATTGAAGTAAAAACTTTAGAAATACTGTCTTTCTGAATTTGTTGCCCTGGCAAACTGCACAGCTTGTCTGCTTAATGAACTGTCTGGACTGAATAGTTGGCAGTTCTGTCGACTTGTCAATAAGCATGCAAATACGGTATTTAGTGTTCTTTCTACATCATAAGTATAAAGTATCTGCTGTAGTACTGCTGATCTTGTATAATTTTAAGAAACTTTCACATCAGAAGTTACCCGGAGTTACGTATTGTGCAGCTCTCCATATCTGCAAGATACTCTTCCTTTTGAAGCCAATAGCTCTCATTTAAACATGTCCCCTAATTTGGGGGTTTTCATGAGGCATGCTTTCAGAGTCATTTGTCCCTGAGATAATTTGCGGTTGCAAAGGCAACTTGTCACATGTAGTATAGAGTTGTTGCATTGTGTAGAGTGACCCTCCACATCTTCCAGTGGTAATGTTGTTCAGAAGTATGTAGAAGAGCTACTTATAAATTCCTCTTCTTACGAGGACCAGTAAAGCTGTGATAGAGACACTGATTCAGCTGAAAGTTACACTCATAGAAAGAGGTTTTTTGTTCCTCTTGGATGTAGCCAGACTTCACAAGCTCTGTGAGCCTCTTTTCAGTACAATAGCATTCCTGCAGTTTCAGTGCTGGGGTATTAAATTCACCTAAACGATGGTGGGGTCAAACTAAAGGCAGAACCAGACGTTGCTGTACTGATAGGGTCTATGTCAAGGAATGCACAGGAATCCTCCTTGTCTGTGGTAGGTAGGAAAAGGCAAAGACAAGGTGCGAAGTCCATCACATGTGGAGATTTATCTTGTAGTATGGCTACAAAATGGTTTCTTGCAGTCCAATCTGCATGCCACTCTGACAATGAAAACAGATGCTCTCTGTATATATTTTATTTTGTTGTGTGATAAATGGCTAGTTTTCTTCAGTGTTTGTGTGTGCCTCTCCTGTTCTCCACTCTCCTTCTCTTAAGGTTTGTCTCTTTAGAACACCTTTCCTGAGATGTGCCCTGTCAGTCTTGAGCGTCATCACAGCCCTTACTCTTACGCTTATAATTTCCAGCTGTGGCCCTGATCCTGCAATATGAATATGGTGATACTTTGCAGACACCACAGGGAAACCCTCAGGAGTGTGTCAGGACTTCCTTTTTATAAGCTTTCTCAGACTTTAAAGCACAGGTTACAGTCCTTTTGGAAATTTTTATGGATGCATTTCATATTGAAGCTGTGCCACCAATGTCTGTCTATTGCTTTGTGATATTGTTCTGACTCCTGAGAGATGTTCTTGCTGAAATGTTTCCAAAATAAAACTCTTGCTACTGCAGCTATATTTGGATTAATAGTGGGATAAGTTATGGTTTATCAGATTGACTTTCAGGACTTGCACTTCAGCAGGGCCATGAGGTTTCAGAGAAAGGAAAGTTTATGCAGGTCTCTTAAAGCATTTCCTACCCCTTCTGCCCAATCCTCCTTTGCTTTAACCTAGAACTATAATGTTATGCCTCCCAGCACAGCTGATTCATTCTGCCTCTCTATTCTTTCAGCTTACTTAAATGGAATTAATTTTATGTGTCCTGTTCAGAGTTAGGCTACCAAGTATTAGTTTAGTCACTGGTTTTGAGAAATATTTATATTTGCATAGTGCTGGAACACCAGAAATAAATACATACCAAAGTGTTCCTTTTTGTGAGATCCCTCTCTGTTCTCAATTAGGTTGTCTAAATAGACAAATCGGGCAAGGGTTTGTGAAGAGATAAGGGGGAAGAATTAGGCCATAACAAGTCTAGAAGTATAGCAAATGTTGAGATAGTTATAATAGATATCCAACTTGATTCACTTATTTTTGGTGGAGATTTAAGAGAAGAGAGGAAGAAAACGCTCATACTTTATAGGTGGAAAGGCAAAAGAAAAAGAAGTATTGCATTTGTTTTAAAAAAAAACCTCAAACCAAAAAACAAACAACCAAAATACACGCACACAAAAAAATTAAGCTTTATCTTATCTCCCTGCTCCTGTGAGAGTTTGGCACTGGATTCCATGGGACCATAAACAGATCCCTGCTTTATCTTCTGGTGTACAGTGACATTTGCAGAGTGGAGCACATCAAACAAGACTTTCCGACTTAGTGCCGTGCTTTTTTTATGTCGTTTTTCTTTTATGTATTTGTTAGTTTAAGCTTGCTACTTCATTTTATGCTTTTTAATGCCTGTACAGTATTATTTTATCTATCTTTCCAAAGGGCTACTTCACTGTGACAGAAATTAGTTTGACAGTTGTTTACACACCCAAACAGAAATTACTTTATGGGCAGAATGTCTGATTTTACAGTGTAATGTCCTGGAAGATTTCAGTATTTTTGAGGTAAAGTTTCTTTCACAACTATAGTGTTCCTGTCAAGAAGTGGGGTTTTGATGCTTTCAGTCTGAGTGCTTATTCTGAAATTATCAGACAGATAGCATTATTATTATATGTGTTCATTATTGAGGTAATTTTTTTAAATATTTTAGATATTTAAAGAAAATACTAAAAATGTGGATTCATTTAATTATAAAAAATTATAACTAATAAATAAGTAAAGGTACACATGGAGATTCCTTGCAGGATTTTTCTTTCCTGGACAAAACCCTTAGCATTTTTGGTTGCTTTTGCTTCTTTGACTTGTACATTTTTATCTTTTTTTTTTTTTTTTTTTAAATTTCTGCAAGCTTATTAGAAAGAAAATGTAGCTAGCTTTTGCTAGCCTCCTTTATTTCTCTGGGCAAGACAAAACAGAAACCAGCCTAGTATAGGTTTACAGAACATTGCCTGTGGATTCTAATTTCTTAGGACTTGAGCACATGTATTAACTTCATGCACTACAGATAATCTCAGTAACTTCAAGACAATCGTTTGATACATAAACCTAAACATGCTTGTAAATCTTTGCAGACATATCCCTTAGGCTGCTGAGGCTCCAACCCTGTATTTTAAAAAGGACTTTGTAATAGGTAGTTTCTTTAAAAGAAACTTAAATGGAGGGGAAGGCTAAATTTTTTTTCCAAATATGAAAGACAAATTAAAAAAAACCCCAACATTGCTTTTATTTCTGCTGTCTTTAAAAATATAATTCATTAAGTATGTGTAAGAATGTAGACACCTGGGCTCTGAACTTCATGGCATTTCTTTTTTTATTATTGATGTTTTTATGTAAATGTCTTAATTTTGATATTTCAGAATACCCATGTAGTAAAAATCTATTTGTTGTATAAAATCCTTAGCAAAAAGCATTAAACCCTTTGGAGAAATGAATGAGTAAAATAGTCTTTGCAATATATAAACAAACAAAACATATGTAAGCAGTGAATGCTAGGACAGGAAGGATATTTTTAGATATTCAAAGACTCTTAAGCTCCAGTAAAAGATAAAGTGTGTAATAGATGAAATATGTCCATTCCATCAGAAGAAGCAGAATAATTAAAAAAAAAAAAAGTGAATATGGTAGTGGTAATGGTTTAACATTCAAAGGATGTGAGCATTTTTCCTCTTGTAGCGATCTGTAATGTGTCTAAACTCTGGATTTCTTTTCTCATTCTTATGTTCACAAGTTTTTAGTTGAGATTGAAGGAAGTAAGAAAAAAGGAATATACAAAACACTGAGTTTCATAAATAATTGAGCAAACTTCTTTTTTATAGTAGTTTCAAGTATGTCTTTTCTAACATTAAGTATAATCACAGGGCTCTTTCAATTGCTACACTGAAAAGAGGCATCTGGAAAATGCTGTGGTTTTTGGCAGAGGCTAGAAGCTGGCTCTGCCTCTGGCAGAGGCCAGAAGCACGCATGGTCAGTGTAATTAAACTGACAAGTGCTTGAGATACTGTATTTGCTGTATGTACTTTCCTTCAGTAACTATTAGTATTTCTTCTATATCTGCTGTAGCTGGTGGCCCTGACAACTTTAAATGTTAGTATAGCATGTAACATGGCAGCATTGCAGGGGCAGCATTTAGAAAAAAATTTTAGAAGCTTTCTAAGTAAATACCTGTTTGCAATAGACAAGCAGCAGTAGATTTCTTCAGTATGAGCTCAGATCTCGCAGAGAAGGCAAAATACCTGACTCCAGCAGATTTCACTTAATGAGCTGTAAAAACCCCTTGCTGGAGAAAATGAGCTTGGAGCCCTGAACTTCCAATGCTTTCGAAACTTTATAGACATTTGGTGTGAATCTTTACTCTCTCTCTGTGATAAATCACAGTATCACAGTATCACAGTATGCTAGAGATTGGAAGGGACCTCGAAAGATCATCTAGTCCAATCCCCCTGCCGGAGCAGGAACACCTAGATAATGTTACACAGGAATGTGTCCAGGCGGGTTTTGAATGTCTCCAGGGAAGGAGACTCCACAACCTCCCTGGGCAGCCTGTTCCAGTGTTCTGTCACCCTCACTGAGAAGAAGTTTCTTCTCAAATGTCAGAATACAGCCTGTGAACTTGTAAATTTAGCTGCTGTGGCGTTGAGTCATTCTGCAGATTTTGGGTGAATGCTGAACAACAAATCATCTGCTGATAAGGTGGTCTTTAACAAGAGTTAAGTCCCTCTAGCTCACTTTATTTGGTTTTAAATTTGCATTGCATTTTAAAACTTCATGTACTTCTTCATCTAGACTCCTCTTTATGTTGTAAGCCATGGTGAGACTGGACCAATCCGATGCAACCGGTGCAAAGCTTATATGTGTCCCTTCATGCAGTTTATCGAAGGTGGAAGGAGATACCAGTGTGGATTTTGCAACTGTGTAAATGATGGTAAGTGTTGTTGTTCTGATGTGTCATTCATACAAATTCTATAAAACTAAAAAGAAACTATATCCCTAAAATTATTTTCTTGGCTTGATGAGAAAATAGTTCAGTGAGATGCAGTAACTAGGCCTATTTCACAAATAAATAATTTTTTAAAACCCTCAAAAAGTACACAAGAAAATGCATAGCAAAATTTGTTCAGTACAGTTTAAAACAAAATGTATGAAAAATAATGCTGGCTCATGAAGTCCAGTCTGATACATTCAAAACTCCATTTAAAAATATAGTGTTAACATTGAATACAGGGCTGCTTGTATAGCTAATGGAAAGCAACTTCTCTGTCAACAGAATTAATTTATTTAAGAAATCTAAGTGTCCAGCAAAACCCAAATATTTAGAACCATGTTAGCCCAGTTCTGTCTGTGACGGTGGATGCAGTGGTTAAATAACCTATTAATCTTACTGTGACAAGTGTTGGTTTTCACAGAGGATACCATGCCATATTTGTTCAAGTGTGCTGCATGTGACTCATAACTGTTCTCATGTGCTTGGCTAAATCCCAAATCTTTGGCAGAACTAGCCTTTCTAGACATTTGTATCAAGTTGGATTTCCTCAGCTGGATCACAGTGGTATAGTGCTTTCCCTAATACAGTAGTCTTTTCAGCTCTTGACACATGAACCTTGACAGACCCATTCCAACTCCTCTTCTGTCTGACTCTCAAATATTTGTGCAAGCATAGCAGATAACAAATTTCATAGTTTACCAGTTTAAACTCTTATAAAGAGAAATTTAAATGCATTGTAAACATTTTAAGAAAGACATTTAAGATCTAGTGTCCATTTTAAATCATGCTTTATATTACTGTGCTATCTTATATCCAACTCAGATAGCACTTTAAAATAAAATTTTAATGAGGGCTGAAAACAGCCAACGCACTAAGTAGATACTTCCGCCATTCACATGCACATTCAGTTTTTGCAGGCAACAATGTGAAAAATAAGCATTCTAAATATACACTGATTGAGGAAAGAGGAGCTAAAACCCATATGTGACTCTTCCTCCTCAGTATGACTCTAACCATCAGACTAGCTGTATGGAAATTGGTGGCGGCAAACTGCTTTGGAGTTATGCACCTTATATCTGTATCTGCAGAAGGTTCCCGATGCACTTTGCAGTACAGTAGCCCAGGGTTGTGAACCTGTGAACAAACTGTTAGGTCCAGGTAAAAGACTCCTGCCTGTGGAAATGACCTGGGTCAGTTTTACCTGACAGTGTAGAGGTGGGAGTATGTGAACATTTATAGGGGAATACACCCTGTACTCCAAATACAAAAGGAACTGTCATTACTAGAATATCGCTGTGTTTTTGTTTGCTTGGGGTTTTTTAAGCCAATGTTGGGGAAAAAAAAAACACACCAACATTGCAACTCTTTCCTCGATCAGTAACAGGGTAGTTATACACATGCAATAGTATATTTCATATTTCACCATTGTATGTGGTGAAAGAAGTTGCCAGGTTGTTCCCCTCTCCCCAAAACCTAACCTTTTTTTTCCTGCTCTTGTGTTGGCTTTTAGTCCCTCCGTTCTTCTTTCAACATCTGGACCACACTGGCCAGCGGGTAGACCACTGTGAAAGGCCTGAGCTGTATCTGGGATCTTATGAATATGTTGCTACTTTGGATTATTGCCGAGTGAGTATTTCCAATACTCAAAATTGTAAAAACTAATTTTACAATTTTATGTCAAAACAAACAAAATCCTTTAAATACTTACAGTAAACACACCTGTAAGTTGAATATCAGAGTCCAGGAACATTCTAGAAAATTTAGACAGATGTGATGTGGAGAATATAATGTTTTATTATTTTGTGCTGCAGAGTATGAGACTAGAAAGTGAGAGTAATAAATAGTGCAGCAAACTGGTGGATGACCAGTTGTTCATGGGTGTTTATTTGGTCCTAGCTATCATGTTGCACTGTTGACATTCTGATGCAGTGTTGCATTTTAGATGCATGTCTTCTTTTGTTTTTTAAGACAAGACGCATGCCAGAATTGCCTTCCCCATATTGAAAACCTTCGCAAGGGAATTTGACCTTTAATCTTTTCCTGGCAAGTGTAGTTTTAGTATTCTGACCAGTAAGTACAATGGAATGGGTTCTCTCTCCAGTATTAACACACTAAAGAATTCTTCCCACAGCCCACTCAGGTCACTGTAACTGTATGTAGTTGATTTTATTAGAAAACTATTTGATACTTCTGAAAGCGTAAGTTACTTAAACTTTTCAAACTTCAGATCACTTTACGTCTATCCACATTTTGGATGTATTTTTCTGTTCTTGCTAAAATCAGGCAGAATTTTCTTCCTGTCATTGAACTGAGGTTGTGAAAAGGTTGGGAAAGGCAACTGGGCCCTACAAAGCTTTGAAGTAGAGACTGGTAACTTCCTCAGACCATCAAAGTATTGCTGGTATGAAGAAAATGAGAAGAAAAGGTTTAATTCTGCTTTCTCACTAGGGTACTTCTCCAAAATCCAGTGAAATCCCTGAGGTGACCTATATGAATTTTATTGCAGTGTGGGTTAAACCCCAGAACAGGAGAGATCGTGAGGTGTTACAGAAATACAGTGCGGGATCCTCAGTGCACATCCAGTATTGTTCTATCAAATTCAGTTAAGCTTTGCTGATTTCGGGCAGCTCAGCTTTTGAAAAATCGTGTGTACGAAATGGTTGGTGCCGTTTTCACAGTTCTTCTCTGCTCTGGAGTGTAACCCTGTCTGGTGCAGTTAACATCACAGAGCATCTTTCGGTGCAGTGGCTTTTGTCATATAGCTTAATTTGGGGAGTTTACTTGGTAAGTCATCCAGAATGGTCTGTCCTGTTGCAAAGACCCATCAATAGCCTTACTAGAATGTTCCAAAAGAGAAATCTCTTACAAAATTAACAGTCATGCTAAGTCATTAAATGTTACAGTCTTTAACGTTATTTTACAATTAGTTTTTCATTTTGCTCGAAGTTGCAAAGATTTAATTCTTTTATAAATCCAGTTTAAGACCAGAACTGAAAAGCCATTTCCTTTTGTGCTTATCAAATGACAAGGATGTACAGCTATGAGAAATGTTAACAAATAACAGCTGGTTTGCATTATTGTGCTCATGCAAAGTGAATGTGCCAAGAGCACAAGTCCTTGTTTCTACAATATATTTGTCAGAACTTATGCAGGGATTCTTTATAAAGGCAATGTGATACAAGAGTTTAAAAGTAGTGTTTGATACAGTTTTTGAAAATAGAATCCAAGTACAGTAAACAGAACCGCTTTTAAAAATGCTGCATGGTTTTAGTTTACAGGAACTAATTCTGATTTACATGATTCAAATAAGGAGAGATCAAGGGCATTATATTAATTTTAAAGTGTTCCAGGGACTACAGGTAAATCATAATTCAAGGGTTGGATGATGGTTTTCTTACATGGAGTTTTCTGAAGTTTAGTTTGGTTGAGGGGTCAGAACTTTGTATTGTGAAGGCAGTGAAACAGTATAATTGAAAAGCTGTCCTGAATTTGACACCCAGTAATGAGCAGTGCTTATCCTAACGGGAATTAGGGAAACCAATCTTATAATCATCAGGTATGATGATTACTGTTGCTATGTTCACTTTATATGATCTTCTTCCTGGATACTTCTCTAAGTATTACACTGCTTTATTTGGAAACAAAGCATCTTACATTTTTCTTATTACAGAAACTCGCGTCAGTAGTGTATGTCCCAATTTGATTGCCACTTACATTATGAATAAGAGGAATTCCCTAAAGAACCCATACCAGCCCAAGTCACTGCTGTGTATGCAGCAGCTCTATACATTGAATGTTCCACTCTCATACTTTGTTTGTCTTACACAAAGTCATCTTATTCCTGAAAGTACGGTTCAGCTGTCTAGAATGCCCTGCAGCATGACAGATAGGTGGCAGATGACCACCACTTAGTACTTCTAAGAACTGCGATACTGTAATTCTGGTTCAGTACCTAAGTTGTATTTTCTGTTTCCAGATTGGTTGGAAATCACTTAACAGTTGTTAGAGACAAATGCTAACAAAGACTGAATGTAAACATTAACATTAACAAAATGGTATTGCATATTGATGTAGGGAATGCAAAATCCATATGGGTACAGAAAAAGCCAAAAGGCAAATCTGTTTAAACGCTTGAATTCCAGCAGAAGATGTTTGTGTTTCATCTTACCTGGTAAAATGTTAACCTTTACATGTTTTATTCCATAAGGATGCTGTTCTCCAGTAACAATGTTTTATTCCAGGAGTGGACTTTACCCAGTGCGTGTCAGCTTTCTGCAGTAGTTACTATTTATGATCCATAGCATTTTTCAAACAATTGAGTGCTGTATTTAGATTGCCTTAAGGTACTACTTGTAAATTTTTCTACATAGCAGGGCACTGTGTAATTTTCCCTGTAAATGGTCATTTTTTTCTGTAGAATAACAAGCCTCCAAAGCCACCAGCTTATATCTTCATGATTGATGTATCGTACAGAAACATCAAGAGTGGTCTGGTTAAACTCATATGTGATGAGCTCAAGACTCTTCTAGGTAAACTTCCAAGGTAAAGAAATAAAAGTGTGTTTTGGTTAACTTACTCCATAGCATTTTTCATGGAAGTTTGAATGTTGAGAGGTAAAAACAAGCAACAGAAAATGTCTAGATTTACAGTACAGGCATTTTTGAGCTGATAGTGACCAAATGTTAATTTTCACTGCTGGCATTTCTTAAACGTTGATGTCTGGGCTTACTCTATGAATGGAAAAAATCTGTCATAGTAACTGCACGTGTAGCTTGCATTCTTTTCCTTTCTTGTAGTGAATTCTAATGGTGGTATCAGCTACCACCCAGCTTGTAGCTTGCTGTAAAGTTCTGTTTACTGCAATGCTTCCTTTCTCATTAAATTAAACAGAAAATACCAAAACCAGAATACTCAAGAATGGCAAGTCTCTCTAAAGCCATAGTGTTGGTGGCTTGTGTCTTTAGCTCTTATTGTTAATTAGCAAAACTTTTAAAGCTTCTAAAACTCTGCTGTATGACTTCTCTGTCCTTGAGAGGAGAAAGATCTTCTAGGCCACAAATATTTTATTAAATATAGCACATTTGCTTTGTGAGCATTATACACACGATAGTAGTATTACTACTGGTCAATATTAATGCCAATGTACTATTTTATTGTAGTTTAGTATAATTTTCAGTTTAGTGTATTAGGGTAGTTTTCATTAAAGTTTAAATAATGCAGACACATATAGTTAAATGAGAACAGTGAAAACTGGGAAATTAAGTGGCTGTTTCTCAGTGAAGCCATATAAAAGCATTGAAGAACATACAGAAAATACATTCCAAATAACAATACTTGCAGAGGGTAAACAGGTTTAAATGGAGAGAGCAATGTGAGGAAGGGTGGGAGATAGGGTGGCGTGTGTTAAAAATCATATATCGTGTCCTTCTGGGATCTTTGTGCATGAAAGAAATTCCAGTGCAAGGTGAAGGTTTAGTTTGTTAGATGCCCATGTAAGGCCACCTCTGAAGTACTTTGTCATTGAAGGTTATCCTAGAGACACAAGTGTTTGATACTATCCTGAACATATCTCAGAGCTTTCCATCAGGATTGGTCATGACTTTGAAGATAAGAAAAACCTAAGCTTGAACAGGGAAAGTGGAAGAAAATGAAAGCAAGTGTATCTGCATTACAAAAAAAGACACAATAATTCTTCTCCTCACAGCACTCTGCAGATATCTGCTGCTAAATAATGTTTGCAGGGCCAAAGTTTTTATGTTCTCTGAAAAAAGCAATAGAAAAACACAAAGAAAAGGCAGATCCTTCAGTTTCTTTAGACTCATCTGTGGTCTTTAAGTAATAGTAATTTAAAAAAAAAACAAACCAACCAAACAAACAAAAAAGCAAACCAAAACAAAAAAAAAAACTCAACCAAAAACCCAACCCCAAAAACAACAACTTAAGGCATTCTACCAAAATGTATGTTGAAACTTCTATTTTGGTGCTGAGACACAAAGGTGTGTTCATTTTCTGTTGCTGGACAAAGACAGCTGCAGAAATATTCTGCTCTTACCACGAGGTGAGAGCACTGTGCTGGGAATTCATCTTGTGCCCGTATCTTTGAGAGGAAAGACTTGGGGTAGCAAAGCAGTCTGTGTCACAAAAGGGCTGGTTGGTCTAAAGGCCTTCTCCAGCTATGACTGTGGAAGTGCTGCACAGCCACTGAAGTGGCTGAGAAGTTAGAAAGGATTAAGGTAGGTGTCTTGAGACCTGGTATTAAGAACTCTGGTTTTGTAGACTTGCAGCATAGCTGAAAACACATTATTTGCTTGCTTGACATTTTGGAGCAGACATTTTCAAGCTTATGTGTTCCAAACCAGAAACCCCTGGGACTGTATTTAGAAAAATAGATAAATGTGTTGATAAAAGTTGTGCTTATGAGCTCAGAAAAATCACACTAGTTGTGCAAATATGATTTTTTATATAATTTAAAAACAAAAAGAAAGCCCACACCAAAAAAAAAACCAAAACACACAAACAACAAAAAGCCCAAAGAAATACTTGAAAGCACTTCTGTATCTGTGATCCAGACATCTCATTCTGAGACTTGAAAAATAATTAAATAGGTTATGAGATGTATAGGCAACTGGCCACTGCATTACAGCTGATCTTTAAAACTGTGATAGAAGCAACTGGATATTCAGACCACCACAGATAAGAGCAGTATCTGAAAAAATTGTCCCTGGTTTATTATTTATCTTAGGGATTTTTCACTGCTTGGATGGAATGCAGTTGATAGGGTTGATGTAAATTTATATATATTTTTTTAAAAAGTAAGCAATACAGCATTTGATTTTTATCAGGGTGTTTTAATTTGGACTAAGGCAAAGATTGATGTCATTACATAACTTGGTTGTTGTTTGCTTTGTTGTTCCCTGTATGGATGATGATCTGAAAGCAGCCTTGCATTGCAAAGGAATGCTTTTATTGCAAGATCAGAAATTCAGAATTATAACCAGTTGGTTTTGGTTTTCTTACAGAGAAGAGCAAGAGGAATGCTCAGCAATTCAAGTTGGTTTTGTCACTTATAACAAGGTCCTCCACTTCTTTAATGTTAAAAGCAGCTTAGCTCAGCCTCAGATGATGGTGGTCTCTGATGTCGGAGAAGTTTTTGTTCCTTTGCTGGATGGTTTCCTTGTTAACTTCCAGGATTCACGATCTGTTGTTATCAAGTAAAGTATGATTAGTCCATATGAGAATAAGATATGAAAGCTTATCATATGCATTAATCCTTTTAGTCAATTCTATTATTGGGGATGGCAGGGTACATGTGTTTATTGAAATACTGTAGAAGCCATCAGATGCTTCAAGTCCTATAGTTCCACCTCTGAAGCAAAGAAAAAGGGATATCAACAATCCCCCCAGTGCTCAGTTGGAAAGCATGTTTAGGCCAGGTGTAGACCATGCATCTTAAGCTGTGCTGTTTCAGAAATGTGATTGGGGTAGCAGCTGTGTGCCATATTGCATATTTTTCCTCTTGCAATGTATAGGATGCACACCTGGATATGATCTAAGGACTCACAGAACACCAGAACTCCTTAACTTTCAGCTATTTATTTTTTATTTATTTTTTTTATTGCATGTTCCTTTTTGTTAACAGGTTTGAAATAACACATCTCCTAGAATTTAAAAATACCTATTTTGTTTTATTCTGGCTGGAATCCTAAGAAATTGAGCAATCAGAATTTTCCTATCTGAATTGGTATGTTACAAGGTAGTTTGGGGAGTATTCCAAATAACTAACCAGCTGAAACACTGATCCTTTCTTCTTTCATAGCTTGTTGGACCAGATTCCAGAGATGTTTGCAGACACTAATGAGAGTGAGACCATCTTCGCTCCTGTTATCCAGGCTGGCATGGAGGCACTAAAGGTTAGAATGTTCCTCTCTACAGAAGTGAGAATAAGACTTGATAAGCTGCAGAAGTTCCATTTGCTAAAAGCCAGTCCCAAGTCTCCTACAAATCACAATGGAAAATGAGAAAAAAAAAAAAAAAAGGCACAAATTATTTCCAGCACTAATGTTCCAGTACTGTAACAGTATGTCTGAACTGCTTTAGTCAAAATGAGAACACTCACAGGCATACATGTGTTTCCAGATTATGTTTTTTTGGGGGAAGCCAGTCCCTAGAGTCTCTGCTACACAGAATGGATGTTTAGGAGAAAATGAGAAGCAGGAGTCTATTTCTCATTCAGCATTTGAGAGAAATAAAAAAGGATGTAGTTACTGCAGGAGGAACTAATAGATACTCTGAATGTTTGCACAGATAACCCATCCTTGCATGTGTGGAGGGTGGGAAAGGAGTCAGTGTGAGATACAATTTTGCCCTTTCTTCTGCTTCTGCAGATTTCTTGTGAAAAATAAGATATTTATGATGACTTATGACTGAATCAGGTAGGGAAGTGGAGGGTTTCTGCTTAACTATTTTCGCAGCCTGTGTACTGCTGAAAATTAATCCCCAGGTCATGATGCATCCTCAGTCACTTTCTGTATGTCCAGGACACCCTCTGAAATGCTGACATTTCCAAGAAGTGCTGCTAATTAAAAGGATGCCACCATGATTCATCACAAGATTTGTAGGAGTAAAAAACAGCCAGTGGTGTTTTTAAATAGTTGATTTATCTGTAAGCTGTGTATAAGTAAAGCATGAGCTTTGAGTAGATAAATTCGTTGAAAATACAGAACATTGCTCAAGTCTGTTTCTTAAATATTTGATTAATACCCATTTTCTTACACCGGAAGGTGTGTGTGCAAAACATGTTTGGTTACTGTTTCTGTCACAGTCCTCTTCCATAATACTTGACTTTGGTGCTGGCTATAAAAGAAAGCAGCTCTTAAGTAAGCTTTTCATTTAGCTCAGTTTTTTTAAGTTACAATTTGTAAAGATTTCCACTGTGAATTATTAATATGCATATACCTGTGCTCAGGAAGATGATTCTTGTCTAAAAAAATTTAAAATGGATTGTGGTCCTATTTGGGATTAATTTTAATACACTTTTAGAAATAATACACATACATTTTAGAAAGTGTGTCAAAAACAGTGTCAGTAATTCCTGCTGCGTATCATGACAAACAGATATTTGGTAACTCAGTCTTCAGCAGAATGCTTCTTAAAAGGCATTGAAATTAGCATTTGTGACTAAAGATACTTATGCTTGAAATACTAGAGGTGAAATTTCTGCTCTATAAAATGTAAGACACTGTCTTCAGTTGCATTTCTGCCATAGCAAAGAGGTTTCTTGTTTTCCCAGAAGTATGCCTTGGCTTATTTTGAAATGTGGAATATCTTGAGAACATCTCAAGATCTTCAATAGGAGGAGTACCAAAGCTGATCTGTGTCTGTGGTCTTGGGTATTGACAGTTTTAACCTGGATGTGTGGCTAATTCTGGAGCAGGAAAAGGACAAATCCATCACTCCTCTTCCTTCCCTTCGTCACACTGAGCTGCTTCTGTACTTGAAGACCTCAGAACTGCTCACTCTTTTTTATTTCACTTCTCTTTCACTTTGGTTCAGCCCTGAAGTGCTTGGGCAGCTGGACCTGAGGATTGCAGCTGAAATAGTCTAGTTTGTTTTGTTCATTCCCACTAGCTGTCTCAGTAGTAAGCAATAAACTGGATTTTCTAAGTTTTGGTGGAAAAGCTTGTTTATAGTACAAAGAGGCCTGTGACACTGCCACTGTTGTTAAACTCTTTTTCAGAATTCAGGGGTTTCTGTCAGGAGTCTGTCATCTCAGTAAATATTATGTCCTCATTAGTGTTCTAAGTAAGAATAGAAAACTGGAATAAAAATGGCAGTTACTTTGTTTCTTACTGATAAGAGGAGATGTTCATTGTAAGTTTTGATACTCCTGCCTTTTAGTGTAGATTTGAATGTGGAATCTAGTACAGGAGTGTGATTGTCACTCATCTGTAAGTGTAGCGATCACTAGTGTGCCTGAAGGGAAAGAAATAATTTTTCTGTTAAATTATTTTTCGTTTTAAGTTTTCCAATGTAGTATTTGTACTTTTTATGCTTGGTGGTTGCTGCATAATGCTTGTATCCAATTGGGAAGTCTCCAAGAGAGATACTCCTAGTTTTGCCCATCAAGATTTTAAAACTTCTCTATAGAAACTACAGTAATGATGCATCAGCCAACATTGGAACTAGATGATCTTAAGGTCCTTTCCAGCCCTAACCATTCTATATCCGTGTGCTAGGCTAAGGAATTCACTGATGTAAAATTCCCAGTTTGTTTTGGGACTTACATCTGTTAAGTTTTGAGTCTGCAAATGAATCATTTAGCTCTGAGGAATTTGCAGAAAGTTTACACTGTTCTCTGAGATGCCACAATGTGTGAAAATCAGGCTTTTTCATCTTAGCACTTACAAATATGCCAATATGGTGTCTTTGGAACAGGCTGCAGAATGTGCTGGAAAATTGTTTATTTTCCATTCTTCATTGCCAACTGCAGAAGCACCAGGGAAGCTGAGGAACAGAGATGACAAAAAACTACTCAATACAGATAAAGAAAAGGTATTTTCTGCTCTAAGTTAACAAGGGACTGCTACTGTGCTGAATTTCTCTAATAGAGCCTCCACCTTTTTTCATTTATTTTCTTTGCGACGGTGTGTTGTTGAATTAGAAAATGTTCCCATTCTTAGTGTGCCCTGATTATGTAGGAATATTGAAAGTCGAAGTACGGTAAAGCAGCCATTCCCATCAATAACGGAAAATCCGGGCAGCAAATCAGTAATTTCACCCATGAAGAGCTTTTACTGCCTGCCTGTTAACTGACTTAGTTCTCTAAGAACTTACTGAAATTGGTTCCCTACATACAGTACATAGGCAGGGGCAACATGTTTTTCATTAAATCCACACCTCACAAGTTCCACTTAATGTTTTTTTTCTTCAAGTGGACATTTGGATTGTGGCTGGCTACCAACAGTTAATTGATGTTATGACACTTGTATTCTTTAATTCTGTGCAGACGCTCTTCCAGCCCCAAGTAAATTCTTATGAGCCCTTAGCCAGGGATTGTGTGGCCAATGGCTGCTGTGTGAATTTGTTCCTCTTCCCAAATCAATATGTGGACATAGCCTCCATGGGTCTTGTCACACTGTACACTGGAGGAACACTGTACAAGTACAGCAATTTCCAGGTAAGTGTGGCAGGTTTCCTGCCTCTTGTGTAGTAACTCCTGGGGATTTGTTGTTTTTATTTGCATTCCAGTGTGTGCTTTGATACTACTTTACATAGTTTTGTAGTCTCTCTACCTTTTACTTGTAAAAATCAGGGGAGACAATTCAAACTTAGCAATGGCAGATCAGGCTCAAATATATCTTTTGAAACAATAATAATCTGGTTGATATCTTAAAATCAAATCCACTTGCTTACTATGCTGGCATGGGAGCAGGGAAGTCAGTTATTCCTGTGTATAGAGATACAAATGCTTACAATAAAGACCCCCCAAAAAGCACAACACAAGGTTGTTGTACCCTTGTGTACAGTCTCACAGAGAATCTCTTTGGGCAGTAGGGGACTTTCTCTGTGGCAGGAGCTGACCTGCAGAAGCATTTTTTGCACAGTCAGGAAGGCTACTCAGCGGTTGTTACGGCTGTGCCATAAAATCCTAGTCAGGCTGTAAGGTGAAGTCCAAGAGCAGAAGGTACTGGATGTCATTTGATTTAATAGAAATCCTTGATGTCCAGGCCTAGTGATGTATTGGTGGATACCTGTGTACATATGCTTCTGTTAACAAAACAACAGCTAACATTTTAAAATATGTTTTTTAAAGAAAAAAAGAGAGATGTTACATATGAGAGGAGCCTGTTTGATGTCGCGGATGGGGGGTCACGGAAAGCCGGGAGAGGGTTGGTTTTCTGCCGTGCTGCTGCCACCCGGTGGTGAACTGCGGTTTTTGCTCTTGCTTTGTGGTTCTAGCTCGATGCCGACAGCCCACGGTTCTTAAGTGACCTCAGGAACAACATAGAAAAAAAGACTGGATTTGATGCAGTAATGAGGGTTCGGACAAGTACAGGTAATGGGGCCCGCTGGGAATGAAAATAAACGTGAATGCATGTGAGAATATATAATTTTAAATAATATAGTGCTGTACACATCACTTGAATTTCATTTCATACCTCTTGGAAAGTAATTGGATAGGCTAAGAAAGTGCCTTTCCTGTAAATGCCTCCATAATAATTATGTTTTAATTGTGAGGCTTCTGATCATTATGCATGCATCTTGGATTGCAGGGAAGTTGTATAAAAAACACTTGTATGTTCCTTTGTTTTCCTGCATCAAATGACTTTACTGTGTCTACTTTTCAAGCATTCCTTTTTACCTCAGATGCAAGTATCTGAGAAACAGACCCACACAACATGGCCAAGTCAATGGCTCAAAAGGTTCTGGGTGATCTCACAGTCACAGCACAACTTCATGGCCTATCAGCTTCTCCCACTCACCCAACTGTCAGAAACTGCGATCAGCAAGGACAGTTGGTGGAGCCCCGAGGCTGCACATCCTAGAGAAGAAAAGGATTCCTGTTTCAGGAAACAAAATTGATTGCCCATAAAAGAAAAGTCACAAAGTAATGCCAATTTTATTTGCTGTTTTTAAATAGAAGGCTGTATTTATTTTTTTTTAAATCTTACAGGCTTCAGGGCTACAGACTTTTTTGGTGCCATTTACATGAACAACACCACAGATGTAGAGATGGCAGCAGTTGACTGTGACAAGGCAGTGACAGTAGAGTTCAAACATGATGACAAACTGAATGAAGACAGTGGAGCCTTAATTCAGGTAAAAACCAATTACCTCTAATGTTGTGAAATTGTAAGCAAGAACTGCAGGCAGAACAAAAAGAAGTTACGGTGTAGGACTGATGGGAACATGGCCCGTCTTTCACACACTCTGGTGACAGAATATTACTACTAAAAAAAAAAATTGTTTTAATTAAGTATCCAAAGGTTGCAGTGCAAATGATGCTCCTTGTGACAGTCAGTGTGCTCACCTGCCTGTCTGTTCAGGGATGATGCCACAATGCTTTCACAACGCTCTCTGAGACCCCAACAGCTATTTTTTCCCCCATTTTATTAAGTTAATTTAGTGTGTAAGATTCATTACTTCTTACACAGAAATGGTACGTGTGCAGTTGAAGCTCAGCTAGCTGCCCTGCCCCCTTCAGGCTCTTGGCACTGGGATGCCAGAAGCCCCCGAGATATGCTGGAATACATCTTTTGTTAGGAGTGGGAGCATTCCGCCCTTTGGGAGGCTGTTGTTTACTATTCTAGATTTGTTTAGTCATGACCTTTTTCTCATTTGATGACAGAAAATATTGCAACTTGCAGGGTTTTAAATTTAAGCTACATAATTATCTGAACCTTTTGTTTCTGTTGTGCTTGGCTTTAGCTTGCCCCTGTAAATACATTTCATACGTCAGCAGTTAATCCCTGTGTATGAATACAGCACTGGGAAACACCCACTTTGGTATGTCTGAGGTCACTTCCTAGCACCATGGTGCAGCAGTGACGGGTGTAGATTTATGTTTACAGCTCTTTCATGTGAGACGTGCTTGTGGAATGCAGCATGTTATGTTCAAGTATCAACATTATATTGAAGTAGAACTAGAGACATAAGGAAATTCTTAAATTACACCCTCCATATTTAATGGAAGCTGCAGGCTACAGGGGTTAGCAGCACCTTGCGTCACTTCATAAGCAAGTTATTAATGTAAAAGGAACCACTCAGCTTTTCTAGATGAGAAAGTTTTCCTGTCCCATTTTTGCCACGAGCTAATGTGATGGGCAGAGCACTTCTCAGCAAGCATCTCATTGTTTGTATGGAGTTTTTGAACTATTCAAATATTACCCAAAGTACGATTTACAAACTTACAATGAGTGGACTCCTGTTTCCAGATTCTACCATCAGCATGTAGCAAATGAGAGTAATAAGCTTTTGAATCAATCATATTATTGTCATAGTCATGTCTATTATACTTCCATAAAGACCACAGGGATGTTGGTCCTACAGTTCTCAGCACCACTGCAGTAGTACTGCAAGGCTAGGCTGTCTTCACAAGTAATTATATGCCTTCTATGCACAAAGCAGGTGAAGCTTTTTTGTTTTAAAACAAAAATAAATGGTATTTTATACTTGTTTTGCAGTGTGCTGTCCTTTACACGTCCATAAGTGGGCAAAGAAGACTTCGCATACACAATATAGGTTTGAATTGTAGCTCCCAGTTAGCGGATGTCTACAAGAGCTGTGAAACAGATGCGCTTATCAACTTCTTTGCCAAGTCAGGTAAAATTGTAACAGAAAGATTTTCTTTCCTTTTTTACTTTGGGGTGAAGGAAGGTGAAGGAAGGGGAGCCAGAGTGATCAGCTAGGGGTAAATCATGTTTTGTAACTTGCTTCTCCAAGCCTGAGCAACTCTTGAAGTATTATAAAATTCAAAAGACAGATTTTGTATTTTAGTCATACTGCCATAAAGGAAAGCTTGTGAAGGGAGCTACAAACATGTAATGCACAAAGCTGTGCAGTGGAAATGGACATCCTGACATAGTGTTGGAGGTTTGGGCTTTTTGGTTGGGCTTTTTCTTCCTTTTTTTTTTTTCTTTTTTTTGTAAAGATGGATAAACATCCTCCCAGATGTTGTCTGTAAAAGAGGCTACAAAACAGCCATAGACCCCAAATTAGTAGAACCAGCAGCTAGCAGAATCTAGGCACTTCCAAGAGTACACATCTGTCTTTAGCACACTGCTTTATTCTTCTGTATTTGTAGCTTTTAAGGCCATTCTAAGCCAACCGCTAAAGATGGTCAGAGAGATGCTGGTGAACCATACAGCTCACATGCTGGCGTGTTACAGGAAGAACTGTGCCAGCCCCTCGGCAGTAAGCCAGGTAAAACCCACCTGCGCTCCGTCCTCCCCGTGCCATGCGCTGCAGCAGATGAGCAACCATTCCTGCACCATCACAATGCCAGAAAGGAAAATTTTCCTTTTCTTTCAAATATAATTAATGACAGGTGCGATTCAGTGGGAGCAATTAGACAGCCTTTTGTTTTTTTTTTCCTGCTGGAATTACATGCTGAATCACAGAGATTTCATTTTTCTAATGTTACAGATTTTGGTATTCTAATTTCTGACAAATAATACTATCACTGTCAAAATAATAAAAATAACATTGTATCTTAGTAAACAATCGCACATAGGTGATGGATTGCTGGAGTGATAAATACCTGATGTGTCTAGGTGGAAAATCTGTGGTGATTAAGATAAGGCTGTTAAACCCTTTCTTACCCAAGGGTAGTAAGAAGCTCTAGGAACCCGATTAGTTACGTTGCTCACTACTTGAAAATTATCTCAACTTAAGACATTCTTTTATAAGTTCAGAACATTTGGGGAGGTCAAACTGAACCCAGCAACATGTTGGCAAATCCTCTCAGCAACTGTTTCTGACAAAAGTCTTTTTCCATTTCAGAAAAATATGCAAAAGATGGCTGAACTAAATCCAAATCCCATAAACACTGGAAATTGTATATTATGAGATGTCACTCTGGTTTGAAACAGCACACAAAAACCAGTTTTGTTTGGTTGGGTTTTTTCCTTTATTCGAAGACAAGAATCAGTGTTTTATTGAAATGTCTGAAAGTCCAGCCTTCCTTCCCATGCACGTGGGCTGTACCATCTAACAAGCTTTCTTTGCTTCTCAGCTCGTTCTTCCAGATGCAATGAAGGTGCTGCCTATGTACATGAACTGCCTGTCCAAGAGCTGCGTGCTAGTTGGTAGGCCAGAAATTCCAACCGACGAGCGAGCTTACTATCGCCAGCTGGTCACCTCTATGGGGGTAGCTGACACACAGTTGTTTTTCTATCCCCAGCTTCTGCCAGTTGTGAGTATGCTGGTTGTGCATCTCTCCCTTTTCAGTAACTGTTTTCAGCATGCTGCCATCTTGTAGCTGTGCAGCTGCAGGAAACGTTCTGCCTGCCAGGCAAGTGCTACCATGCTGGATTACATTTTTATGGCAAGGTAGTCACTAGTTGAACTAAATTGAGGAGGGAGGGTAGAACCTCTAGTTTAATGGAAAACAGAGAATGAACATAATCAATTGCTGACTTCAACATCCTCAAAGACTCCAAGTGTATATTTAGCAAGGTTTTTGCTCATGCTAATGAGAGATGCTAGTTCTGCTAAAGATCAGTGCTGCTCTTGCGTTTCCCCACTTACTGCAGGCCCTCCTTTGCACACAGTGTGTTAACTGAGAAAGAGGACGTTTGATTTCTAATTCCTCTAATCAGGAAAGGAACCACTAAGACATGCTAAACCTTTTCATAGTTACTTTTCAGGATCTGGTTAGAGCTTTACTCACCTTGAAGTCACCAAGTCTACAACTCTGGCACATTTTTGCCCCACAGCACAGCCTGGATCTGAAGAGTGATGCCATCCCAGCTGCCGTCCGCTGCTCTGAGGAACGTCTCTCAGAAGGAGGGGCCTTCCTTCTGGCCAATGGTCTGATTATGTTCCTGTGGCTGGGAGTCAGTGTACCCCCAGAGCTCATCCAGGGGCTTTTCAATGTGCCGTCCTTCGCACACATCAGAACGGAGGCTGTGAGTAGATGGAGACTAGTCCCTTTTTCACAATTTATGCACACCTGAACATACATCATCATCAAACGTCCATCAAACTTTAATAAATAAGCTTTGACAGTCTGAACGCTTACAGGAGAGGAGGTTTCACAACATTTTTAAACCTTCTTAAACTTATACTGTTTCAGATATTAAAATCCAATTGAATGGGTATTGCTAAAATTGGAACAAAATGCTTCGCAATAGTTACAACTCTGTCTGATAGTGAATTTTCACACAGTGATTAGATGAAACTAAAATATTTGCCTAGACAGATGAATCTTTGAACAAATGAGAGATTTTTTTTTTCCTGGTTAGAATGAAATACATCATAACTACCAGCAGTTTACCTCATTACTACCAGCAGCTAATCTCATCTGAATTTATAAGATATGTGACTGGAATTTAACAACCTGCCATGCTTTCATTCTAACAGACTTCACTGCCTGACCTGGACAATCCATATTCTAAGAAATTTAAGTCAGTACTGAAGCATATCCAGAGCCAAAAGCCCTACGCTATGAAGGTAACTTCTCTCTGACTTATTCCTCATCCCTGTTCAAAACAAAACCTACTGGTAGGTGTAAAAGGTTTTATGTATCAGGAATTTTCCTGTATGTCATTGAGTTCCAGCATGCATTGTAGACATGAGTATCTCAAATATGCTCAATTCTCATTAGTCAAAGGAGATTTTCAGAGGTAGTTTAAGTCTAAAGGTTGCCATTTTATTTGCACACCTTAAGTCACACTAGTCTGTCTCTCCTGTTCATAAATACAGCGACTGAAATGTGGAGATTTATTAGTTTCTGTCCATCCCATCTCTCTGTCCCCCCTGCCCCCAAGAGCATGCAGTAATAGATGCAGGGAAACCAAACTCCATTTAGTATGATTATATCCTAAAAATACGTTTCCCTCCTCTTTTCAGTTGATGATAGTGAAACAGCGGGAGCAATCAGAGATGCTTTTCCGACACTTCCTGGTAGAAGACAAGAGTATTTATGGAGGAGCTTCCTACGTGGATTTCTTATGCTGTGTTCACAAGGAGATCTGCCAGCTGCTCAGTTAAGGAAACTTAAGTATAATATGTAAGTTTCGTTTGGATTTTGCAAGAGGGACAGGTCTTGCTGCCTGAAAGCTGGCCCACAGCTCCACTGTCCCCAAGCATCCTGCTGTGCTTTAGGGAATCTTGCCTGTGCCTCTTTTGCACAGTCTCATTTCACACAACCTCTCACTGAGTATTTAGCTTACTTAGAATAGGAAGTTCTGCACTCAGGTATTAGTCTTCTGGGAGTCCTGACTCTTTCTGTAAGTGAGTTGCCAGATATCAAACTGTCAGTACTTAAGAGCATATGGTATGCTGTTATTAAAATGTAATTATTCCTTTCACTAGTCTGAAGTTGTACTTGAGCCAGGAAAGATGCTAGAAATCTATACAGAAGTGGAAAAAAAAAAATACACAAACCTGCTTTTTCTAAGTGAGGGCATTCAGCTGACAGATTTGCAGTAATCACGTAGTTCAATTTAAGTGCTTCAGCATCTTTTGTGTAAAGCTAAACCCTAAAAAATAATGCCTTTTTTTCTGGAAGGAACAAGTACTGCTTTCTCCAGAAAGAGAGCTCTGGGTAACCTTCCGCAGTTGGGCTTATCCAGGACGCAAAAAAGTTTCTGTTTATAACTGGACTTGAGTAAGTTTAACGGCAGTGGCCCACAGGAAGAACAATGATCAAACAATCCTTTTGCTAAGTCTGGCAGATAATGCTATACTAACATGGTACAATTCTCTAGTCTTAAGGGCAACAATTAATTTAGCATACTATTTAATTACATTTTCAGAATTGAATGAGTTAGGTTTTATTTGTATTTTGCTAACTTGAATATTCCTAATAGACCTTAGATAAGCATCTGTCCCTCAAAATTTCAGTGGCGGGTCAGCTCTAAGAGAGGTTGACACATTAACCAAAGGTTACTTATAGTGCTATAAAAAGAAGGCCTCTGGTTTAATACCTGTTCTGTTACAGCAACCTCCATTCACATGACTGATGCATTCAAAAGGCACCGGTTTGAAAAATAAGCCTCTGCTAACATCAGTATTTCAGGTAGAATTTAGAAAGCCAGAGTCTTTGGAATAGCTGTTTACCTCATATCTGAGGTAAATTCATATCTGAGTATCCTTCATCAGTCTATCTATACCTTTAAGACCAATGCCTCTGCATGAGAGGTTTCAACTCTGCCAAACTTGAGAAGCTACAGCTATAAAAATCAGTGTTTCAAAGAAAACAAAAAGTTCTCAAAAGTAAGGCTTAGATTTGGGCCTCAAAAAAAAGAAAAAGAAAAAATATGTTTCATCATGTTGGTGTTGCTACTTAGTTTAATCATTTTCATATCCAATGAGCAGTCAAGATGAACATTTTTTGATTTGACAGCTTATCAAAACAGATGTATTCTTGTGCATCGACTGCACATTCTTAAAATAAGTGGCTATATTACAAAGGGATCCTTGGACTGAACTCAGCTGCCAAGGCAAGGACTTCTTAGCTGAAGATGTTACCATGTAAAACATATCTGTTGCCATTCGAAATCAGTGTACTTTGTATAATGACACCAGCAACTCTCTGTGTAAAGAAATAAGCAATTATTAAATATTGTCATCATGTGGGCGTTTATTATTTCAGATTCTGAGTTAGATTTTTTATGCTATCAGCTTCTGCCAAAAGGTGCTGCTGAGCACAAAAGACCTCAGATCAAATAACTCCAATGTCAAGCGAAAGCAGATAGGGCGTCACAGCAATCTGTCTCTGGATTGTGCAGTCATTTGCTGTTCTCCAGTAAGGAGGAAGATTTTACGCATATTTTTCTGAGATGTTAGGCAAAGTGAAGTGACATCTGTTGGTTTTCTCCCAGATTTGAGGTCTTCTGTATTCAATCGTAAGTCTTGCGCTATTTTTGTACACTTTTTTCCCAGGGCCCACACATTTCTACCAGTTTCCATTTCTGTATTTCATTTTTTTTGTAGAAGGTCTCATGTTTTCAGCTGTTACCTGAAAATCTATGGTGCTTGAACTGACCACTCCTTAGGTTTGAATTTTGAGACAGACTGCTCCTGTCAGATAGCAGTTTGCCACCAGTGTGTTTTGTGTAGCCTTTCTTTTTTTTTTTTTTGCTTTTGTAGTGCTGCGGTGTTTTGCTGCCACCTAATAGGTTGGTGTAGTAAATGGTACTGGGAATAATCTCTGACAAAAAATGGAGTATTAAAAAAAGCTGCTGAGCAATTTGGCTTTCTGGTTTGCTTCTTGTGTAACGGACAACTATTGGAACCTTGCGCAGAGAAGTTCACACAGTGATAGCTCACCTGCTGTACTGTGGACTCTTGCATGTTCTTGGGTCTCTTGGTAGTCAATGTACTTCTTAGAGCAAAAGAAGGGATTCACTGACCATTACTATTAGTTGCTGATTCTTGGATAGTGGGAGTATTTTGTCATTACGGTTCTATTACAACCATCTTGGTTGTAATCTTGTAGGCAGACAAGTAAGTGGTAGTACATACAAGTAACTAAGTAGACATACAAGACGTCATCTTCTTTGCTGTAACATGTCCTGGGTTCAGCTATAACCGTTATTTTTCTCCTTTTTAGTAGCTGGTGTAGTGCTTTGTTTTTTGCTTTAGTCTGAGAATAATGTTGATAAATCACCAGTGTTTTAGTTGTTGCCAAGGAATGCTTACCCTGATCAAGGACATGTCAGTCTCTCATGCTCTGCCAGTGAGGAGGGGCACTGGAAGCCAGGAGGAAGCAGAGACAGGACGCCTGACTCAAACTAGCCAAACGGGTATTCCATACCACAGCACATCATGCCCAGTATGCAAACTCGGGGGAGTTACCTGGAAGGCCCAGATTGCTGCTCGGGTTGGGCTGGGCATCGGTTGGCTGGTGGTGAGCAATTGTGTTGTGTATCACTTGTGTTTATTGGGTTTTTTTCCTTCCCCTTTTAGTTTTATATTCTCTCCTCTTGTTATTTCCTTTATCATTATTATTATTGGTGATAGTAGTAGAGGTTGTGTATGGTACCTTAGTTATTGGACTGTTATTATCTAAACCCATGGGATTTATATACTTTCGATTCTCCTCCCCATCCCGCCTGGAGCAGGGAGGGAAAGGGGGAGGAGCGAGTGAGCAGCTGCATGGTTCTGAGTTACCGGCTGGGCTTAAACCACAACACATGTCAAGCAATAAATGCTAGGTGAATTTATTACAGGTAGAAAGTATTTTTATTTTAAGTTTACAGTTTGAGTGTCTTTTGCCTAAACATACCAATAAACTATTGATGTCTGCAGCTTTTATCCAAGTCCCTAGTTCTGTTGAATGCAGGTGGTTGTAGAGCACTGTGCATCCCTTGCCATACAGAAAGTGCTCTTTTAAGAACACAGTTGCTGGCTTGTCATGTGGCCACTGTTGGCTGTGGTGGGAAACTGCAGTAGCGAACTGTCACGTTCTTCAGTTGAAGTGTCAGACTGGGTCGAGCCAATAAACTCTGGTTTGCTGTGGCTGTATGAACTCATTTCCGGTGGGTGGGCTGGCTGAAGGATCATGTCCATGCCCCTGAGAAGCTGTGCCCACTCCCCTTGTGCTGGTGAGGGGTGTTGGCTTTGCTCTCTCTGGCTCCTGAGCTGAAAGGTGAGATGAGGGAAAGGGATGCAGTTTGTTCATGCCACAGGTGGCTAGCAGTGCACTGCCCCCAGCACCGGTTGGTCCCCTTGGTCCGGTGAATCTGCTCACTGTGGGGTGTATGCACTCCAGGCAGGATGCAGGCTTCTCTCAGACCTGTCCTGGGTGGTATTCCTCCATGCCATGCCAGGCCATGAGGCTTTGGTGTCCACCTTCAGGGATATATATTGAATGGATGCTGTGATGCTGCTGGGAGGAACGTGAGCCAAGTTGTCTTAAAAATCAGATCTGGAATTGCTTGCTCTTTAGTGTCACTTTTGGTACTGTGGAGCTGATTGTTGTGCTGCAAGATAGTCCCTGTTTTGTCCCTTCTTGTGTCTTGGGGTATTGCCAGTGCCAGCGTTTACCCAGAAGGGGGTTATTCTTACACAGCTTGTAGATAAATTGTGTCCGAGTCATGGGATCTATGCAGAGCTGTCCCAGTCCAGGTGATGTTCTGGCAGCTGCTGTCTGCTGTGTCGTGAAGGCCTCTGCCAAGTAAAACTTTCTACTAAATGGCAATGGGGAAGTGCCTGAAAAGTTGCACAGTTGTTGGAGTTGAAACACTGGATGAAAAAATGACATCCTGTAGAAGACCCCTAAGCCTGAGTCACCAGAACTCTGAGGAGCAGCCTCATCAGCTATGAGATCTGCTGGTGCTGAAGAGGGCCTGCAGCATCCAGATCGTCTTACTGCTTCAGAAGGTAAATTGCAGAGGCCACAAGCTCAGACTTCCCTGGGGCTTGTGTAGGTCATGGTGCCTGGAACCAACCAAGATCATCTAGGACCTAGTTGTGCCATGAAGTCTTAAAAATTGCTCAGGAGTGTATTTTATCAGCACCTGAGCTGGTGTTAGGCTTTGAGTCACAGTTTTCTGAGTTTCTTAGTTATTTAGGATCCTTGAGCATGCAAGCCTCAGAGAGGAAGGCTTAACGAAGACAGGGTTGTCTTGTGACATCCAGTTTAGGACAGAGCTGAGAAAGCCTCTAAGTCATATACATCTGGAGCAGAAGCACTTGACTGGTTAGGTGTGTGGATGACATCAAACTCATTAAGTAAAATTGTAAGTTCTGCCTCCACAGCTGGCCCTGCCACCACATCATTACTAGAAGTAATGATCCACTTCTGACACTGTCTCTGCAGCATGTGCTGTTTCCTCCGACAGTGTGTTGTGGTTTAAACCCAGTCAGGCAACTTGTTCACTCACTCCCAGTGAGTGGTGCCGGGCTGACAGCAATCGAGGCCCCCCCCCCCCCCCGGGGCTCTCCCCTTCCCCTCTCCCGGAGGAACGGGGAGGAGGATCGAAAGGGTGCAACTCCTACGGGTTGAGACAAGAACAGTCCAGCAACCAATGTACAACACAAATCACCACCGCTACCACCAACGACAACAATGATAAGAGAAAATAACAAGGGAAGAGAATACGATACCACCGGCCAAGAAACGAGTCCCACCCAGAAGCCCGTGTCCTTCCAGGTAACTCCCAGTTACCCCCCACCCCGGGCATGACGTGCTGTGGTATGGAATACCTCCTTGGCTAGCCTGGGTCAGGCATCCCCTCTCTGCTTCCTCATGGCTTCCCCTCCTCCCTGGCAGAGCATGAGCCTCACAAAGTCCTTGGTCAGGGTAAACATCACTTAGCAACAACCGAAAACATCAGCTTCACCAACACTGTTCCCAGGCTGGAAGTCAAAACACAGCACTGCACCAGCTAACACAAAGGAAAAACATGACTGCTACTGGTGAACCCAGGACATTATCCACCCCTTATTCCATACCATTCACGTCATGCTCAGATCCCACATTTTCAATACACCATTGCTCTCCCACATATATACATCCATATACATACAGACCAAGAGAAAAAGATCATTTTCTTAGTGCATGGACCAATCCCTATAATGCTGCCGAGTCCATTCGGTCCATAATGTCAGGTTCCATCCCTTGTAACAATCTTTCAGGGCAGGAAAGGCTGTGTGCAGTATTGGATCGTTGCCTGCTGATGCTGGTCGTTCCTTTACTGCGGAACTCATCCAGTTCTATCAAAGTTCATTCTCTGTTGGGATGATGGTTGGAGGGAAGTCAGGGCTAGTTGCTGGTGACCTGGAGACATCTAGTTGATGAGCTATAAAAGTATTACACAGCAGACAACAGCATAAAATTGAGTTCACTGGCTTTTTTCCCCTAAAATCAAATCCCCTTGAGGTACACATCGGACTTCCCCATCTTCCTGCATTACCCACCAAGTATATCCAGGTCCCTGAGCATAAGCAATCCCACGAGTGGGTTTGCCTTTACCTGAAGCAGGAATAACTCAGACTGTGTTCCCCAGCAAATTCTTCATAGGCACCAGAGGAACTTTGTCCCCCTCTACAATATGTAAAAGTTCTGACTGGGCTGGGCCAGCCCTGTTGGCAGATCCTCTGGTGTTGACCAACCAGGTGGCCTTTGGTAAGTGTGTATCCCAATGCTTGAAAGTTCCCCCACCCATTGCTCTCAGTGTAGTTTTTAACAGCCCATTGTACCGTTCGATTTTCCCAGAGGCTGGTGCATGGTAGGGGATGTGATATACCCACTCAATGCCATGCTCTTTGGCCCAAATATCTATAAGGTTATTCCGGAAATGAGTCCCATTGTCTGACTCAATTCTCTCTGGGGTGCCGTGTCACCACAAAATCTGTTTCTCAAGGCCCAGGATACTGTTCTGGGCAGTGGCATGGGGCACAGCGTATGTTTCCAGCCTCCCGGTGGTTGCTTCCACCATGGTAAGCACATGGCGCTTGCCTTGGCGGGTTGGTGGCAGTATGATATAGTCAATCTGCCAGGCCTCCCCATATTTATACTTCAACCATCGTCCTCCATACCAAAGAGGCTTTAACCGTTTGGCTTGTTTAATTGCAGCACATGTTTCACACTCATGAATAACCTGGGCAATAGTGTCCATTGTTAAGTCCACCCCTCGATCA